ATGTATGGATAAATAAATCTTTAAAAAAAAAAATCTCTCAACTATTTCCTTCCTTTATAAAGAAGCAAGCCTTGTGGCCGACTAGCATGTCAGTTTCTTTCTAGTCAATGTTAAAATAAAATTCAAGGATATTTGCTAAAGCTGGGTTAGGAAGACTTTTGGGGGGGTGCGTGGTTAGCATGATCAAGAGAGACCACTCGGATAGAATTTTGCTGTGGGGAAGAGACATTTGGCTGAAGTCCCGATACAGCATGGGCAAGTGGGAACTTACAGTCAAGGAGTGGATGGAAAATGACTAAGAAACATCAACGGTAAAGAGATTCTGGCTAAACCCACCTTACAGGATTTTCTCTGAAGATAGACCAGGTGATCAGACATTACCTGGAGGACGGTGGAGGAGGCAGAACTTGGCCAGATGTGGAGGGTACTCAGATATCCAGAGGTGGCAAGTTCTGGTTAAACTGACTTAGCAGGGTTCTTGCTAAAACTGTTATAGGACAGGGAGAGGGGCAGCCCAAGCCCCGCAAACCTGCCTATTCTAAATGGGTTCTGCCATCCGCCGCATCAACACAAAACATATGACACTTTAATGGGAAGGAACTTTAATAAAACTAGGAAACAATACAGGTAAGGCAAAGAGTCTAGTTTCTAAATGAAGCACCTAAAGTTACCCATCCCCTCGTGGGTAAAAGTCCATCCATATGGGATTGGCCCAGAGCAAGGCCCCAAAGCCTGCCACAAGTCTAAAGCATCTTCCAGTGGGGACCCACAGAAAAGGGTCACAAACAACTGGACAAGCCCGGAAGGAAAAGAGCAAAATCAACATCAAGATAAAAGCTGCCATGGTCACCTCCCCACGGGTCTCACCCACATCTGTGTCACCTAGTCCACGACCAAAAGACAAGCACAGTTTCTTCACGTGTCTCTAGGCTCCATGCGCCTCCTCCAGGTCTCCTTGCTCCATCCTGCTCCTTCCTTCCTCAGTCTCTTCTGCAGCTTCTTCTCTCCCTGCTCAGCTCCACCCTTCCTTGGGTGGGGCAGGGAAGCTGGAACCTCCCCCTTTCCTGGGGACCACCCTGTTACAAAACCAGATTTTACAAGGAAGTGCACAGATGGGCCTAAGCAGAAGGTTCAGGAGCCTGGGTAAAATTTGGTCAAGCAAAGAATCTGGTCACCAAATGGAAAGCATTCTGATTTTTGCAATAAGAAATCAATGTGATCTAGAAAAAAGAATGTTCCAGGGAGTATAAACAGCTCAGTGCCTTGAAACTTTAGGAGCTTTAGTTCAGGTTTTAACTTTTCTTGCCTTGTTTCAACAGCCTTATAACCCATTTCCCACAATGGTCCTTAAAGGACTATTGTGATTCAAAAGCTTCTATCACAGTGCAAGATAAAAAGTAAGTAACAAGTAAATTCCAGTTCCCCCTCTAACCTCTTCTCCACACTGGTACCAGATTTAAGCTCCCAAAAGTCCTCTTCTTCCTTCTTACTATGAATGACTTATCCCAGCTCATCGCCAGCTTCTCAACTGGTATATTTGCTTACTCAAGGACCTTCCTTCAGCAAGTCTCCCCTCTCTCCTGAAGCAACATCCCCCCCCCTTTCTTACTAGATCATCTTTAGCCAACAGATAAATGGTTCTACTCTCTTGAAAGCAAACATAAGCATATAACCCTCTTGTGACTGTACACAGCCTCTGCCATCGCTACACAGTTCCTTCCTCTCTGTCTATTCCCATACTATTTTGTTTTTCATTCTTATATGTCTTATAATGTCTTTCTGTTATCTAGGTGTCTATTTATCGAATAACCATTTTGCTAAAGGTAGCAAGTATAACTTAATCTTCATCATATCCCCAACCCACCTAGCACTCAAAAGATAATAAATATCTGTTGTATGAAGAAGAAAGAACAAAAATGAAGGAAAGAGAGGGCCTCAGTTTCTTTACAGCAGCCCTGGCTTCTGGGTAAGATTACTGATATCAAAGTTTTCCTTAGCATCTGCTTGGTTAACTACAGAGCTTACAGAGTGAACCCCAGCCATTCGTATGGTCCTCCTCCATGAAGTGGAGACATTAGGGGTGAGAAACCAAGGCTCAGAGATGAAATGACTTGCCCAAAGAAACAGTACAAATTAGTGACAGTCAATATTTGACTGTGATAGTCAGGTATTTGACTCAAAGTCCAGTGTTTTTTCCATCGGGGGAAAAAAAGAAGAAGAAGAAGAGAAATCCATGCCCTGGTGACCCCACCTTAGGGCACTACTCTGAAGCCTTCTATACCTCATGTTGGGCTGGCTTCATAATGGGCTCCAAATATTCCCAACTAGGGACTTACCTAAGGGATATTTTATAAGCATTCATTTGCATATACCAACCTCTTGATTATTCTTTTTATCATTAATTACCTACTCCCACTCACAGCCACGATCCTTGGTATTTGGCTTATGGACTACATTAGCCCTACATCATCATTAGCAGTTCAATGAGCATTTGGCATTAGAAATAGGGAGATGAATAAGACAGATTTTATCCTTAAGAAGCTCAGTCCAGTCTGTTCCCTTTCACTCCTTGAATGTACTGTTTTCTCCTTCTGGAATATATCCTCTCCCAAATCTTCCAACTTTGGGCAGTTGGCTGCTCTCCCTTCAGAGTTTCTGTAACACTTTGCTCCTGGCTCTGTCATCATTTATCATGCAGCCCCAGTGATGGTCTGGGCCTCTATCTCCCCACTAATCTGTGAGCTGCTCAATGCAACAGTGCATATGCTGTCTTTGTGCACTGTGACCTCCCACACACTGACTGCCCCTCTACCCCTACCACTCCTTAAAATGCTCTTCCCCCTTCCCACCAGACTCTACCACCCCGATTTCTCAATTTTTTTTTTACCACTTTTTAAACTCATTTGTTAGTTCTACTTCTCTCAGGCCTCAAAGATGTGTGTCTCAAGATAGGGCCATCAACATTTTACTCTTCTACTCCAGTCTTTCAGTTTCAACCATCATGTTAACCAGGAAGTTTCCAAGATACCCATTTTTCTCCTGTGCTGAACTCATTATTACACATCTCTGAGGAGTCTCGCGGTCACTTCAGTCTCAGCATGCCTAACCAGACAGCTTGTTACCTCTAGTTCCTGCTGTAACAACTTCTTTTCTGGGAAGACACTGCCATCACTGCCCTTCAAGTGCCTTTCCTTCTTCTTCTTTGCCCAGTGTCTCTTTAATCTCTTTTTCCCCCCCATCTTAGAAAAAAATGGCTTCTCAGGTCAGATTGTCTCAGCTCTGCCACTGATGAATCATGTGAATTTGACCAACTTACACAGAGCCTCTATATCTTTATCCTAACTTGGGGTAATAATTGCATAGGGTTTATTTAATTTTATATTTATAAGGATATAATGATATAAAATACAGTAAAGGGCTTGATACATACTAGGCTTTCAAGAAATATTATTGCTGTTATCATTATTTCCTTCTACCTAGACTACTGTGGTATTCGCCCAGCTAATTCTCTGTCTCCTCTGCCATTCTTCTGTACACTGGGAGGGGAAGAGATATGAAATATCCATTAAGTACTAGCACTTCATCCTCACAGCAACCTTATATAGTAACATCAGCATCATTTTATACAAATGGAACAGAGCCAAGATTTGAACATAAGTTTGACTCGAAAGCCTACTCCCTTTCCACACCACCAAATTACCAGGTAAACCAGTAAACACCATTTCCCAAACACCAACCTGCCTAAAAACAAACGAATCTTCAATCACTGCCACAACTTCCATTTCCCTTCAGAATATAGCCAAAGGCATTATCCTAAGATTTTTGATCTTGTAGTATGTCCCTCACTTCTCAGTGTTTCTCTGTAGAAACCCTGTGCTCCATAGAAACTGATCTACTCCCCAGCCACATCTTGTACAACCTCGACTTCCCACCTGACACACCTTCTCCATTCCTTTACCCTTGTTTAAATCCAGTCTTTCCTGCAAGGACTAGGTAGGGTCCCCCCACCCCCAACACCTTTCCTGACTTCCCCAGTCCCCCACCAAGTCTCCCCTAACCCCTGGAGCACCTGCCTGTATCCTTTTGACACTTGGTGTTTCTTTGTGCTTATTTTTCTCACTAAGCTGTAAACCTCTACACTTCAGGAATCAGCCTCTTTTTTTTTTTTTTTCAATCCTACGTAGCCCAGCACTCCCTCTATATATATATATAGAAAACGTGCTTAATAAATATGGGTTGTTTTGGATGAAAGATGATCGTCCCGTCCGGATGACCTCTCCCCCTCCGGGGATGTGTGTGCATGAACTTCACCTTTAACAGCAACTAACGTCTCCCAGGGCTCCTCTGACCTTTCAACACTCCTTGGGTCTCTTTTCGAGTTTCTCAGCCTCCCTGCCCAGGGCCACCCCCGCAGACCCTCTCCTCCAGGGAGCCTGTCTTTAGTTCATTCCCCTCCGCTCCTGCCATCATCCAGTCCCCTCCCCCAGGGCTGACTCTCAGACGCCCCCTCTTCCCGAGCCACCCCCTCAGACCCTCTCCCCCAGGGCTAGATCTTCGGCCTTGGAACCCCGAACATCCTCCCCCAGAGCCACCCAGCGGCTCTGCCTCCAGGACCATTTGTTCAGCTTCTTCCTCCACCCTCAGGCATCCCCGAGCCCCCTCCCGCGGTCCCACCCCTTCAGACCCTGCCCCCAGGGGTGTCCTCTGGCTCCTCCGACCCCTCCCCAGCTCCGGCCCTCGGCCGCCGCCCTGGGTCCCGCCTGGAGCCGCCGCCCTCGCGGGTCCGACCCGAGCGCTGCCCCCGCGCCCCCGGCCGCCCCCGCCGGGGCGGGGCGCGCGGAGGCGGGGGCGCGCCGGCGGCCGAGGCGGCGGCGGGGAAGACGGGCGGGCCGGGCGCGCGTCCGCGGCGCGGTGACTCGGCGGCTCCGCAGCGGCTGCAGCGGGAGGACCCGGCCGGAGCCGCCGCCGCCATCGCAGCCGGGCGGCCGGGCTCCGCCGCGGGGATGCCGAGGAGCCGGGGCCGCCGCGCCGCGCCGGGGCCGCCGGGGCCGCCGCCCGGCCGGGCCCCGCGCTGGAGCCGCCGGCGGGCCCCGGGGCGGCTGCTGCTCCTGCTGCCCGTGCTCTGCTGCCTGGCGGGCGCCGGGCGGGCGGCGGCGGCGGCGGGGGCCGAGGACCGGGCGGCGGCGGCGGCGCGGGCCGCCGAGACGGGAGCGCCCTTCGCCGGGCAGGTGGGGCTGGGCGCCGGGCCGGGCCGGGGCGCGGGCGCGGGGCCGCGGGGCAGGGCAGGGGGCGGCGCCGGGGCCGGGCCTGCCGCTGTGGCTGGGGGCGCGGAGGGGGCCCGCGGGGTCGGAGCCCGAGGCCCGGGCGGGGCGGGGGCGCGCGGCGCGCGGGGACCGCGGCCCGGACCCGCTTCAGCACCGCGGACAGGGGCGCGGGCGGGGACCGGCGGAGGCCGGGAGGTGGCGGAGAGCGGCGGGGCGCGTGGCCTGCAGGACTGTGCATGAGGGAGAACGTACAACGCCTCGGAGTAAATAGTAAACGCAGCCAGTCTGTTGTGGGCTGGGAGAAGAACCCCGGGATGCTCAAGCTGGAGGCGAGGAGACGGAGTGGGGGGCGGGGGTACGGAGACGGACTCGACCACAGTCTTGGAATCTAAAGGGCTGTCACGTGGAGGAAGGACAGACCTGCTCTGAGTGGCCTCGCAGGGCAGAACCAGGACCAACACGGGTGGGGGGTGGGGGTTGCAAGAAGACAAGAAGTTTGTAACAATCGGAGCTGCTCACCCAGCTTAGGAAGCAGTGAGCTGCTCACCCCCGGCGTGTGCAAGCAAAAACTCGCGGGATGGGGGGCGGGGGGGGGGCGGATAGGGGGTTAGATGGATACACAGATAATGCCTGCATGGAAACATGCTTAATAATAACAATAATACCAGCTAGCACTTACTGAGCACTTACTATGTGCCAGGCCTGGTGTTATGTTTTATATGAATTATCTTATTTGAGTCTCATAACTACTCTAGGACACAGTTGTCATTACTATCCCTGTTTTACAGACTCAGAGAGCTTAAGTAACTTGTCCAAGGTCACACAGTGGTGGAGTTGGAATTCAATCCCGGGCAGGCTGACTCTAGTCGCCACGTATTTAACCATGACATTATTCTACATCACACAAGTGTTGGGGGGAGGAGGTTGCGAAAGGCAGTTGGACTGGGTAACTTCTCTCATTTTTCAGAGGCCTGCAGTTCTAACAGTGCTGTTGGCTCAGTAGTTTTTTGGTTGAGAAAAATCAGTGATTTTGCTTCAGTTATCCTAAGAGCCAGAGTGTGTTTGTTGAAGCAGGCAATCTGTTTGTTCAGAAAAATCTGCCAGAAAAGGGCATCAGATTCAGGGGGTCATAAATTCTCTGAGATTTTGTGCAAGTTTGTGTTTTTATGTGCAAATATGTGTTTTTATAGGAAAGAATCCTTAGATTTCTTCAGACTCTCAAAGGGGTAGATGATCCAAAAAATTAGGGTGTTTAGAAAATATGTTAGCCCTAGTTGGTAGCTATCTTCCAAAGATCTTTTAACTGCTGGCTGACTTTTAGTGGAAACTTCCGCAGTCTGTTTGTATTTTCAGCTTTACTTCATCTCAAATAATGTGCTTTGTGAGTTTCTACCCTATACAAAATAGGACCTCTTTAGTCTTCACGAGTGCATAGGGTGAGATTGAAAGCCCCTGGCCTGGTGGTTGGGGGGGTTGGGTTCGAACCTGATCTTGGCCCCTTACAGCATCTTGACCTTGGGCCATTTTCTTGCCTTCTCTAGATGAAGCTAGGGCTAGATGATCTCAACTCTGAATCCCTTTAATTTCTATATTTCAAGCATTAAGAGGAAATTTATTTGCCTGGCTGTGTCAGGATTTGAAAGAAGGTAGTGTGTACCCACTTCTTATCCTTACCAGCTATCCTTGTCAGTTCTATAGGCTTTGATCACACTACTTCACTTAGCGTTTATCTTTTCGTACTTAAGTGTCCCCCCTTATGACAGGCCACCCCTAGAACAGCCACATTCATCATCTGGATTATTTTTAGTTGTTCTTTTCCAGATATCCTTGGGCCCTAATTTTCTTTTTTTTTTTTTTAAAGAGTTATTTATTTATTTGTTTGTTTATTTGTTTATTTATACAAGCACTGGGTACAGTCAGAAGCGCGGGAGGGTGAGAGAATTCACCAGAGCCAGAGCGGAGAGCAGAGCAGGCAGAAGGACCGAAGTACACTGCTGAGGGGAGCAGCGGGCGCTGCAAGAGAGGTCTGCGCGCCATGCGGGACCCTCCTCCGGTGGCCGGGGAGCAGCCGGGGATCGAACCGGCGCCGCAGAGGCTGCGGGCAGCTTTGCAACCCAGCGCTCAACCGCTGCGCCACAGGGGAGGCCCGGCCCTAATTTTCAATAGATATAAAGCTGACCATTATCCTCAGGTGTGGGACCCTGTCGTCTTGCACAAAATGATTATTTCTTCTTTGAATTTTAAGTGTCTTCCTGCTTCTCTCTTTCCTTTTGTCAGCCTTTCACCCCAACACATTAGGCCACTGCCTTTAGGAAATAATCTCCAGTAACTCCCTGATCCTTTTCCTGGGACAAAATTGATAGCTTGGAACACAACAACCTATATGTGGATTATTTTTATCAGAGTGCATTACCTTACATTTCCCCACATTGACATTCATCTGCCATTTTGCATCCCACTCAGTACCTTCCTTTAGCTTGCTCTCTCTCTCCCTTTTGGCAGAGCATTTCCCTACCTGAAAGGACATAATATGATCCACCGTCCTGAAATTTTCACTTTGCTCTACTTCTTCTGGATCACTTATAAAAAATTTAAATCAGACAAGTAACAGCATGGTCTCTTGGGGCCCCCTGAACTCTTAATTTCTTTTCATTCAAAGAAATGACAGATTATTTCCCTCTATCATTTCTCATCTCTAAGTAAATTCTCAGGCCATGATAAAAAAAAACACTGCCCTTAATTCCACAATGACTCCACATTCAAAGTCTAACATACTGTGGGCCTCCCCGGTGGCGCAGCGGTTGAGTGCTGGGTTGCAAAGCTGCCCGCAGCCTCTGCAGCACCGGTTTGATCCCCAGCCGCCCAGTGAGGGTCCCACATGGCGCGCAGACCTCTCCTGCCGCCCGCTGCTCCCCTCAGCAGTGTATTTCATCAGTCTGCCTGTTCTGTTCCCCGCTCTGGCTCTGGTGAATTCTCTCACCCTCCCGCGCTTCTGACTGTACCCAGTGCGTGTATAAATAAATAAATAAATCTTTAAAAAAAAAAAAACATACAAAAAAGTCTAACATACCGTCCAAAACTTTCTGAAAGATACAGAAATTATATTCACTGCTTCTCTTAATAATTTTCTCCTAATTATCCCTTCATTGAACATTAGTGGATAACATGATTGAAACCTTACAGAAAATACTGTTACTTTTCAGAAAGCAGATAATATTGTTTATTCCACTTTCTGTCCTTTAAGGCCTCTAGAGTCTAATACCCCCTCCCACATCTTCACTAGAAAGCTGCCAGTCCCAGTGTTCACTGATCAACATTCTTTTCCAGACAAGCTTGTCTCTCCCTTATTCTAAGACAAACTACCCATGTTTCCTTGGATGTCTACATATGCAGCTTACATCTGCACCTCCACCCACCATCTGCAACCTTTCTTTAAAGTTTCAGCCCAAACCCTGTTTCTCTAGGAAACTTTCCCTGACTTCCCTTCTTCTCAAGGGATAACTTTAAGGCAGCTTCATCCAGTTTGCCAATGTCTTTAAATGGTTATACATTATTTGAGAAAGAAAAAAAATGTGATTCTTAGACAGCTAAATCAACCAAAATGTCTTTAGACCCAACAATTCCCAACTTTCAATACTCATCATTAAGAACTCAATAAGTGTTCAATGATTCTGCTCTTTATGCCAAAAAGTACATGGATCTGAAATAGGTGTTCAGGGCGCTGTAGTTCTTAAGGTCCCTTCTAAAACTATTTGTAGGGGTGGGACCGGTCCTTCCTTCCATGGAAACAGAGGTTATTCCTTTGAACAATGAGCCTACAATTTTAGCCTTGAGTTCTAAGAATTCTAAACCTGATAGTAGATGATTCAGAACTAGAACTTTTCCCTGATCTCCACAGTTCTTTGTTGAAAGCACATTTTCACTATAGTTGGCTTGTAATTTCATATCTCTGATCTTTCATTACCAAAAGACAAAGCCAGAAATATTCATTCAGTCTGTTTTCTCCTTTGCTTTCTTGCATCTTTCCTTTGTATTTTGCACATCGGGGGTCCAACTGATCCTCTTACTTGGCTTCCCATGTTTGGTTTATTTAAGGCACTTCTTTCTCTTATTAGCTGAGTAGAATGCCCCACAAATAGTTTTTTAGCCCTCCTGGTTTTCAGTTGATTCTGAGGATGGTCAGTACAGGTAGAAAGACACAAGCCAATCAGCACAGGCCACCCAAGTGGTCAAGTGCCACTCCTAGGCCCCAGCAGTATGGATTCCTGCCTTATACACCAGTTCTGAGGGACCTGCTATGAGCAAATAGTGTTGTGCAGTTTGCCTCTGTGTCAGGGAAAGTCAGAGCTCTGGGTGAGTCTAGGGATGGGATAAGCCTACTAAGAAACACTAACAGATTTCCTGCCAAAAATTTCTTTCAATGTGATTATGGCCTCAAGTATATGTTCATTCTTATCTGGAAAAAAAAATGCTCACTGTTACAAAATTTTTCTTCTTACCTAAATGAAATCTAGTCTGGTGTATTTTTCACTCATTTTCTCTTATTAATACTGTGGTTTTTCTTGCTACTTTAGTGCCCTCTTTTATTGGTAAGGTGCTCTGCACTTTTCTGATGCTTTCATGTATGTGGCCCCACTTGATCCTGGCAATAACACCATAAGGTAGATAGGGGAGATAATGTTCTCATTCTACACATAATCAGATGGAGAGACAGAGAGATTATGTGACGTGTCTACAGTCCACATCTTGTACAGAGAACCACATGTAGTTAATAAACAGTAAAGCCAGGATCAGAAGCTGGATCTTCTGTCCTTGGTCTCACAACTCTGTACTAAACTTTCCTATTCTGTATTTTTTTTTTAAAGATTTATTTGTTTATTTATTTATTTATGCAAGCACTGGGTACAGTCAGAAGCGCAGGAGGGTGAGAGAATTCACCAGAGCCAGAGCAGGGAGCAGAGCAG